CTCACCTCCCCCCCAGCCCGCAGCTCTGCCCCTGGGCCTAGGGAGACCCAACACCGGCCCCAGCCCTCAGCTTCGTACAGTATTTTAGCATCTTGTTCTTCACAAAGCTGACGCAGTGTAGAAGTAAGAGATGCAAAGAAGCTCCAAATTCTCTTAGTTGGCCTTAACCCAACAGTTAACTCACAGGAACCTGAAACACTGCGTAAGGGCTGGGCGCTCCTACCCACTCTGGTGAGGTGCAAGAGCTTGCCCGTAGTTTGAGGGGGATGCTGCTGGGGGCTTGTAACTCTTCCGCAGGCTGCCCCACGTCTGCAAAAAAATCATCACAAATGTTTGGGTGGTTGCTGCTACAGCTTTACTGGATCAGAGTCACCGCTGTTAGCCCAGGGTCTGTGCCCCCACCCTGCTATTATTTGCTAGCTCTAAGTTAATGCTAGAGCTGTAACATGACAAAAAAAAAAAAAAAATCATTATGACTACCTCTTGTAAATCCACGTTGCTTTTGTGGTGCAAAATACGTAACAGAGCCAAGCTCTGGTTCCTGGGTGTGTGCAGCATTCCCAGCTAAATGCACAGCAGCTACTCTGACTGGATCACTGTGCCCTTCCTTTAAAGATGAATTGATCCGCGAAACGACAATTGAGTGTGCAGAGCGAGGACTGCTGCTTCTTCGGGTCAGGGATGAAATCCAAATGACAATGGCTGCTTATCAGACGCTGTACGAGAGCAGCATTGCGTTTGGCATGCGGAAGGCACTGGGCGCTGAGCAAGGCAAAGCTGACATGGAGAAAAGAGTAAGTCAGGCTGTTAACCCCACGCTGTAGTTTTCAGCATAAAGATATTGCATATAAAATTTTATATGAAAATAGTTATTTCTGTTTCCGCTAGATGGCAGTAAAGACCATCCAAATATTTGCCTTACTCTTTTTTTTTTTTTTTTTTCCCGAGCACTTAAGTGCACTTCATAAATTACGTGCTATTATATCTGAAACACTTTAATGACTGTACAACACTCAACTTTGTCTCATCCTAACTGGAAACTGGTTATTAACCAACAAAACTTGAGAGTTCTGTACTCTTTTCCAAGATTGCAGAGCTGGAAGAGGAAAAGCGGGAATTGGAGAGACAAGTGAGTGAACAGAAAGCTAAATGTGAAGCTATTGAAAACCGTGGAAATGAAAGGCATCAGACAGAAGAAAAGAAACACTCTGAAGAGGTTCAGTTCCTGAAGCGACTAAATCAACAGCTGCAGGTTAGAAAAACACCCACAGTTCCAAATAGTAATGGCAAAACTTCTCATTTTGTAATTAGAAAGACATCTAAATAACTTTCTCCTTATAGTTTTAGAAGTTACATTGGTATTAGCATTCCACTTTCTGCAAGTTCTCCATAAAATGGGAAGATAGTGCTTTTGCATTCTCCTCTGCCTTGCTCAGTCAGCAAGCGGTCACTGCTGGCAAGCCTGATGGCACAAACAGCAGGTCAGATTAACTGAACTCCAGTCACACACACATTTGCCAGGGAGAGGTCAGGATCTCTTCAGAAAATGGTAAATTGTTACTAGTCAGATGTTTTGGTGCTTTGCTGTTGGCCATTAAAGCTGGCTCCCTGGCCGTAAGACACACCAGTTACCCTTAAATATTACCCAAGCAGAACCACTGCTATCCAGCAGGGAGGGCGCAGTTACAGGAGTAATTCTGCGCATGCTGCTTTGGTGAAAACGGAGCTTCTGCTCATCACTTTGCTTTTGAAAGGAAAAAAACCCGCATCTTGTGACTCGAGAAAAAACGTTATCATAAACCACGTCAAACTCTGACTAGAGCTAGAAACACTCCCTTGACACAGCGCCGCTTTCCTTATCTTCACTGTTCCTACAGGTTCTCCTTTCTCAACCACCACCGTCTTCAGGCCACCTTGAAGTGGTGTAGGGCACAAAATGGAGTAACTGTTAGCTTGAATGTGTTGCCACTGAATCCATGTTTCTTCTCTGAAGCACAAGTATTCCAACAGCTGTGTACATTCCCCTGTTGCAGCTTATTTTGATGGCAGCTCTAGGAAGAGGACAATCTAAGAGTCCTGGAAGCTTCAGGCACCACACGCTCCCAAAGCACGGGTCGCTCTCCCATCAATCTACTAATTGGGCGTCAAGTTGTCTCGGTAACTGAAAAACTTGCTGTTCCCAGCTACTTTTGTCCCACAGTCAGAGCCTGTGATCCAAATGCTGGAGAGCCAAATATTTAATGTAGCTCACATAATCCAGCCTGAAATCAGAGAATTCAGACCACTGTTTCAACAGCTTTTATTTAATTTCCTCCTCGGTGCTTTACATTATAAAATGAGTCTTTCATTGTATGGAACCAAGGCCAGCTCTTTTCTTCTCAGAATTCAGCAAGCGTGTATGCCAAGAATGAAAAGCTAATTTATAAAACATGTAGTAAGGAATGGAATTGCTAGGGAGAAAACCCCCAGGCCTTGAAGTATTGCAGCACCCCTCAGCTCCTCGCTCTGAGTATCTAACTAACCATTTATCACTTTACAGCAATGCGGGTTTATTTTTTTAGGTTGAATCTAAGTTGACTTACTGTCTCGTTTGTTTTCCAGGCCCAGCTTGAAAGCATCATTGCAGAAAATATTTCCTGTTGTCCTCCAGGCAAAGAGCTGTCAGAGCAAGGAGGCTGCAATTAGCGACAAAGACTTGTCTTCATAAAACAAGCCTGAATTTTCGCTTACCGGTAACTGAAGGCAGCGTAATTGTGTCGTTTCTTTCTTTTTCTCTTCAAGCGTTGAAATTCAAAGAGCTTCACTAATTTCTGCACCCTCTTTCAATGCAGTCGCAGCATTCAGCTCCTTGAATAGTGAACCTGTCTTGGTAATGTGCAGGTGATCTTCAAAGCAATAAAGTAATCAACGCTTCTAGATGCAAGCGTGTCTGTGATGTCATGACTTGTTGTAGAAAATTCTGAAGCAACACACGAGTGCTTACAGTTAAATGTAAGTCACATTCACTAAGAATCAGACTGCAGGTAGGTCTTGACAGGTGTTCGGAGGGTATTTGCAAGTGGGTGTTAATTGTACGTCAAAATCCCTGGTCCCAGCCTTTAGCAGCAACCCAGGCAAGCAATACCAGAGCCCTCTATGTGCCTGTTTCTACAGAAACAAGAGGGTACGATGTCATTCCAAGCATCGCTTCTCAGCAGAAGCAAACGAAATCTTTACCTGAGGAACCTGCGTGACCAGCTGGTTATACACAGCAAGCAGACATGGGAGAGAGAATCCACTGGAGTCACAGGAAAAACCCCACAAAGCCAGTTTCCAGAAAAACCACCCAAACAAAACCACCACCACTGAATATCACTTCAGGACATGTCTTGCCACTGCAGTGTTTACTGGCCTTAGATGGTGATGTGGAAATACCCTGATCTCCAGCTGCATAAAGAACTTTCAGATGATGCAGAAACAAAGAGTGAGATGCTACTCCTGGGAACAAGACAGACAAGTCAAACTGGGCTTTGAATGGGAACGGCAAGCTTTATATTAAAAAAAGCCACTGAATACTAGAGCTGGTTTATGTAAAATTTAATAGAATAAGCACAGTTATTGCTTATGCTTGTATTTTTTCTGCTTTGATCTTTGTCCCTCCAAGCCAGTTTTTTTCTTGTTCTTATTCTTATTTTTCACGTTGTGAGTTTCATAATACCGGACTCCAACTTTCTTGGAGCGCTGCTGCCTCTCGGCTCGTCTTCTCTGCAAAGACACACAAAGCACATTAGCAAATCCACAGGATTTGTAGCCCGAATTTGTTCGCGTTCTTTCAAATGTCGTTTGCTTTGCATTCCACATGCTTTAAAGAAAATCCGTCATTTCAAACAAAACACTGCTGACCTGAATACATAGACATCTATATGGAACCCACCCACCCACGCTCTTAAAATGTTAGAGGAAGATACACTTCAGTCTTTACAGAAGTGGCAAAAACAAGGTACAAGCAGCAACCTAACGCGCACAGCCATGTCAGAGGTCTTCAACAGAAGGTGTGACGAAACATTCATAAACAGAATTCAGTGTCCACTCCCCTCTGACAGCCCTAACAGCCCAGAGCAGGGCTCAGAAAGCCCCGGCTGTTCAAGTTTGTTCACAAATGACTTTCAACATCCTACAGACAATTTCAGTTAGTCTAGAAGAACTGTTTAGACTTGACTAACATGAACGAAAACCAGCAGCAGCAGCTCTCTCTGAAGACAGGACAGCAGTGCCCATCCAGTTCCAAATCCGCCCATCTCCCATCATTCAGACCCCTGCTCTTAACAGCACCAGTGGGCAAGTGAACGCTAAAAGCAGAGCAGTTACCCACAAAGGCTTCTCGTCTTCAACACTCCTTCTGCTGTGGTTGCGCGCTTGGACCCTTTTATCGGTCCATGCTCACCTGTGACACGCTACCTGTCACTTCTCACATCAGCAGTAAGTCACCCTGTCTTCACGTTCACCCCACCTCAGCTACAGTCCCTGCACACTCTCACCCCTACCAGTGCACAGCCTCAAAGCTCTCAAGTGATAACGGGCACTCCACGTACAAAAAAATCCAGCTCTAGGACCCTGCTCATTTGTTTTACTACAAGAAATCACACTTACTTCTTTGGATGTAAGTTTCTTGCAAGGTTGTTCACCCAAATGGTCATCATCTTCCTCGTCTGCTTTCCTTTTTCTTTTCTTCTCTGTGCTGCCTGCAAACAGCAGATATCACAGACTCAGGCACCTTCCAAAACACCCACCTGTTTGCAGAACTTCAGACTGGGGCCACCATCCCATCTCCTCCAGCAAAGCACTCCTTTGGCTGTATTTTAACAGCTTCTTCCAAAACAAAGCACATGCTCTTCACCAGAGGACCTCTCGCTGTTACTGTAAAAACGGCTCTCGAGAAGCAGACTGCTTAAAGCCCCACACAAGTCCAGAAGAACGTCATAGTCTCGTCAGAAGAGGGTTCTCCCACACGATCTTGCCCTTCATCAAACTTACTATGGAAACTGAAGCCACAGACTCGTGAAGTCACCACAGTAAAACCTATAGCCTGAAGTATCTCTGTGCTTTTATAGTGTCGTAAATGCCTTCCACTCCCTCCTGTGTAATATTACACCAAGAAGAAGGGAAGTTGCTCAGACTGCAATCTGCCCATAGCACCGCTCTTTTGGAAATACAGCATTTCTCTTCGCTCTACCCGCACTCGCTACCAGAGGGACATATCTTGCTATACAGACAGGTGTTCCACAGAAAGGCTACAGCATGGGCACCAGGCAGCCCTGAGGTCAGCTACGGAAAGAGTTCAGTAGCTTCAGGGGAAAAAGAACTTGTAATCAGGAGCTAACGAATGCTTCCCCCCCAACTCCCTCTCTTCTCTGGCTTACAGGAGTTCCAAATGCACATTAAGAACATCTGCTAATCTTGTTTTACCTCTGTCTTCAGTTTCTTTGGGTACTTCAGACTTCTGCATGGATTTTGCAAACACTTTTTCAGTCAGCTGCTTAGGGATTCTGCAAAACATAGGATAAGCAATAAAAGAAGGTCTTAACACAAAGTGTAACCATCTCAGAGAAGCAATCAGTCTCCAACAGATTCCAGTAGCCTGTTGGCAGCAAAGCTACAGCCTTTGCACCTAAAAAACATAGGACAGTAATCCCATCTCTGGAGTTACCGGGCTTGTGCACTGCACAAAGGGACAAAATTTAACACTTAACCGTGAAATTTTAATCCTCACAAAGCTGGTGGATGAGCTTTGCTAAAACTGGGCCTGCTGCACGAGCCAGGATACTCTTTCTTGTACATGGATGGAGCCCAGCTGGCATATCCAGGTAGGGCATTAGCCCTGGTACTGCTCAAGAACGAGCCCAACATCAAGCAGAGATCCAAGGAGGCAATACTGCTACTCGGAATATCAACAGATTTATAAACCATAGCTTAAGAGGCAGCTTTCCAAAAGCGACAACATTTTCAGTTATGCTGGTAAATAGGAGTTCTTGAAATAATCTTTCCAAACCAAACTGCTGCTTAGCTGAAGTTCAAATGCTTATGGCTAAACTAGGTAAGCTGTGGCAACTTGCGTGTGGCAACACAGAGGAACCAGTCAGGCAAGTCATGGATGGAGTGAAACTACAGCAGAATCACATTAACCCTTTTCCTCCCCGCAAAATATTTGAGTCACCAAACACATTTTGATACCTTATTGCTGAGAATCTCTTGGCTTTGGCTTTATCCAGAAACTTTTTGTATTTTGCAATCTTCTCCTCCAGAGCCTTAAGAACTCCCTTTGAACTCTCCCTGGCACCTGGTACAGCCAACTGCGATTCCTCCTCTACCGAATCTTGATGTTGCTCCTTTTCCTCTTTCTCCTCTTCCTGCTCCTCCTCTCCACAAGAATCACTGTCTGTTTCATCAAAGCCTGGCACATCTACCGGAACCAGGTCTTCTTCTGAGAACTGGGGTGCCACATTAATCCTCCCAAAGTTCTGCCGAACATGGGACATGAGTTGCTTTATTTCTGTGTCTGTATCAGCCTTCTCTTCTGCTGGCTCCACACTTGATGCTACTGACTCAGAGATTTTCTCCTCATTATTATCTTGGCTTGACGTCATAGCTGCTTCCAACCCAGGTGGCTACAAG